TATTTTCTGTTTAGAGGCAAAGTCACGCCTACAATCTAGGCAACAAAAAATGGAGGTGTTTGAATTTGCCTTCTGTTTCTCTGCTGATGTTCAGCTTATCTTAGAAATGTCCTCCAAAGAGCTACATTTTACTTTCTTACTTTGGGTACATTTCAGAGCCTGTACTTTATTACTTTTAAAAAGAAAGTGAAGAAGTGGAATCAGTACATCAACCTTTACTGGAGTATTTTTTAACACTAGTATCTTTACTTCTAGTACAGAAATCTAATCTAGATCAAAGTACAGAATCTCGGTACTTTTGCCACCTCTGATTGATTCTTAGCTGTCCTCTCTGTTTCAGTTCTGGAGATTTGGAAAGTGGGTAGATGTTGTCATTGATGACAATCTGCCAACGAAAAAAAAGCGGTTACTGTTTGTGTCCTCGAAATGTGGAAATGAGTTCTGGGCCCCTCTGCTGGAGAAGGCATATGCCAAGTAAATAAAAACTTGTCACACTTTCATGTAAATCAGTTTAGAAGGTCACATTTCTGATATGAATGTCATTGATTTAAAAATGTTTCTCCTTCTGGGTGCCTCCTTCAGACTTTGTGGCTCGTATGCAGACATGCATGCTGGGTTTCCATCAGAGGCCTGCAAAGACTTCACTGGAGGTGTAAACCAGACTTACAAACTGAAGGAGATGAACTCAGCAGGCCATGGTGATCTTTGGCTCACATTAATCAGAGCAACTAGGTGCCAATCACTGATTTGTTGTTGGACTTACCACAATAAGGTAAAAAACAGACAAACAAAAAAAACCCCCAACAAAAATCAATAACAATAGATTAAAAAAAACAACCCTTGTTCTGTCTTTTTCAGGGTGCTTTGGTCTCTGACACTGGATTGGTGAATGGGCATGCCTATTCCATCACAGGTGTCACTAAGGTAAACCAAGGAGCTAGAAATTTACGTTCACCATAGGAAAAGAGTGAAAACAAGAGCTAAGAAAACTTAATTGCAAAAATTGTGATAGTATCAATGAATGTGATAATGTGATACCATTACTGAAGCATTTCCAATACCTGATGTCTTCACTTCATTATTTCATCTAAAGGTGGAATTAAACGGCTCCAAAGTACGACTGGTGCGAGTCATGAACCCATGGGGCAGACGGGAGTGGAACGGAAAATGGAGCGACAAGTACTTGACTTAATTAAACAACAAACAATGTCCATATATCGCTGACAATGACACAATTTGTACTAGCGTTGCACCTACACATAATCAACTCACAGTGTTATGATAAATAGACAGGCAAAAAACTGAAAAAAAAATTGTAATTATAATTTAATCAGAAGCTGTTTATGCAAACCTACAACAGGCAGTGCAAGAATTTCTAAACATAAGATAAACAGTATAGCTGGAACAATAAGTGGTCAACAAAAGAGAGAGAGAGAAAACGTAGGTATGCTGTGCAAAATGAAAATGGCCAGACATCCACAGAGAACAATAGCGGTGGATGATCACAGGATGCTTTCTAATATAAAGAAGAACAACTTATGAACTTCCAGCCAAATTAAAAACAATGGCAAACACTCTCACATATTGAAGGGGAGTGTTCAGCACAGTGCAAAATATTTATCGACCTCAAGAACAGAAATGCTGTATGTGTAGTATATATATATATATATATTGAATATAAAATATATCTATTTTGCAGCATTAAAGTCTGTCATTAACTTATTTGTTTTGTGTTCTCAGGTCAGATTTGTGGGACAAAGTAAGCCAAGAAGTTCGAAAAAAGTGTTTCGACCATGACAACGGAGAGTTCTGGTAAATTCAAAATTTTGCACACTGATTACTCTCAGTAGTTAAAAAAAGCTTTTAAAAACTCAAAAACAAAATAATCATATGATAATTTTGATGCAATACCAAAGAGT